CATTAGATTTTAGTCAAGGCAAAGTTTAATAAATATACATAAATTGTATACGCACACACGCCGCTACATTCTTGAACGGCATGCGCATACAAGCTAAGGCCTACCTGTTTACCAAAGTTTTTTAATCTTTAACGTCAATTTTCTCGAAAATTATCAGTTTTACACAAAAAATGCATAGAACATAAATAATGTATTTTTACAAGAACTACAACTTTTATTTGAGACATTTTTTCGTTACATTAATATTTCTCGAAATAATCTCAAAAAAGTGATATTTTTTCACTTTTTTTGGAGTTTTGACCTTGAAAATGATCTTGTCGGCGATTTTCATTATCATATTCGTAATCAGCGCGCCAAAATACATAAAATAGTGCAGTTTCAAAAAAATCGGGCGTTTCACCTATTCGGAACTTTATCCCAATTGTGTTTCGTTGCTTACAATTTCTGGTGCTCGCAGGAATTGCGATGAGATACTCGCTATTATTTCTAAAGTAATTCGTCGCTCGAAAGCCTTTTTCGTGCGTTTCAATAGAACGGTTGCTCGCCGTTCGAGTGCTCGCGGAACGTGGAAAGTGCGAATTGCTGTAAATTTTTGTAAATAGAGTCTTTCAGTTTATTTTAATAAAAGGAGTGTCAATTTACAACTTTAATAAGAAATTTTGGAATAGTGATTGCTCCGTCGCGATCCTCCTTTTCTCTCTCTCTCTCTCTCTCTCTCTCTCTCTCTCTCTCTCTCTCTCTCTCTCTCTCTCTCTCTCTCTCTCTCTCTCTCTCTCTCTCTCTCTCTCTCTCTCTCTCTCTCTCTCTCTCTCTCTCTCTCTCTCTCTCTCTCTCTCTCTCTCTCTCTCTCTCTCTCTCTCTCTCTCTCTCTCTCTCTCTCTCTCTCTCTCTCTCTCTTTCTCTTTCTCTGTCCTGCGCTCCTCTCCTCGCGCGCTCGCGAAACGAACAAAATGAGAATAAATTTAATTGTTCCGATTGTACGCGAGTGCAATCAGAACTCTACGCGTTCTCTATCAGTCTTTATCTTTCTCTCTCTCTGTATCTCTTTCCCGCTTTTATCACTTCCGTTTCGTCCGATTCTTTTGTACACGAATATCAATAAATCGCGCGGTTGTTTTACCATTCATTTTTACGATCATAAATTTAATGAAAATTATAGATTTTTTTAATACTTACAAAATTGTTAAGACATTTTTAATATTACAACTCATATAATAAAAGTGATTAAGTGAATAGATTTTATTGTAATTTTTATTTTCAGGTTTAAGAAGACTGTCGCGATCAAGAGCTTCATCGCCATGCCATAATCGTACTAGAACTGCGAGCTTTAGCCTTTCTCAGAAACCACGAGATGCCATGAAGTCGCCTGAACTATTTGTCAATATGAAGAAATCCAGCTCGCCGAGCATGGTCGACGGGAATCTTTCTGTGATAATAAACACGCCTGAGCGGGGCACGCAGAGACACGAGAGGGTCGTCCGCGCCGTCAGAAAGGTGGAGTGCGAACTCGACGAAAGACTGCGGAGTCATGAACTCATTGGACAAATTATTGACAGGAAGACGGTCGACAGAGTTCGCATTAAGGCGAGACGAGTCACGTTTACTTGGCAGCGGGGTATTAAAATAGGTGAGTTCACAACTTATGTGCAAACATTGTTTATTGTAATCTTCAATCAACAGGCGATCAGCATTAATAAAAATATTGCGATAAAGAAAACTTTAATAAAATTTAGAAAATAAAAATTGTGTATATTAAAAGAAAATAAGTTTAAGACGTATACAAACAAGTATATTACACTTTTTCTATAGATTTTTTATGTTGGAATTAATTGCAACAACATTTTTGTGTGTAACTGTGCTTTAACAGCGTGTATTTGACGCTTTTTTACCATTTTTAAAAAAGGTAATTTTAATAGATTGTTAATACTCGCACGATTGATCGGTAACTCTACTCGTAGACGACTTTGCAAAAGACGATGCGCGATGATTTCTTTTGCTAACGACTCTCTTAATTTCTACTTGATTAATTTTTTTTCATTATTTTGATACGAGAGCATTATTTTAATGCAAATTAAAACGTTATTTTAAAACGCATTTTATTCTGCAGGTCAAGGAAGGTTCGGTAAAGTGTACACTGTGGTAAACAACCAAACCGGTGAGCTGCTGGCTATGAAAGAGGTGCAGCTGCAACCCGGCGATCACAGAGCGATCAGGCGCGTTGCCGAGGAATTGCAGATTTTCGAAGGAATCCAGCATCGACATCTAGTGCGATATTACGGATTAGAAATTCACCGTGTACGATAAACGTAACATAACTATCGCTGTGATACGTAACATTGCATTGAGTTTGAATTATCACGATAAATTCTGTTTCTAGGAGGAGATGCTGATTTTTATGGAATTCTGTGCAGAAGGGACTCTTGAAAGCTTAGTAGCAGGTAGCGGAAACGGATTGCCAGAATCCTTAGTCAGAAAATACACTTATCAACTTCTTTCGGCTGTCGCAGCGTTGCATTCTCACGGAATAGTTCATCGAGATATCAAAAGTAGTTGTCTCCATAAAAGAATTTTTTGTAAAACAATACCATTTGTTTCTGTTATTTTCACAGCTGTATTTCTTTTTGCAGCTGCAAATATTTTTCTAACAGACGAAGGTAATTCTTTGAAACTCGGCGACTTTGGTAGTGCAGTGCAAATTAAAGCGCACACAACCATGCCTGGAGAACTTCAAGGTTTTGTCGGCACACAAGGTTAATATTTTGATTATTATATAATAAAATTTCTCATAAATTTGTATCATAGTTTATACCTATATATATTATATATATATATATATATATATATATATATATATATATATATAAAATTAGAGGTAGAAGTTTAAAGAATTGTTAGAAAATTTCGAACATGTTAAAAAAATATATCTTTTAATTATCTCACGTTTGTATTAATCTTGAATTATTTTTTTTAATTTCTTAAAGCTTATATGGCGCCAGAAGTATTTATGAAGTCTGAAAGCAGCGGACACGGTAGAGCTGTCGATATCTGGTCGGTGGGTTGTTGCATTATTGAGATGGCGAGCGGAAGACGACCGTGGTCAGATTATGACTCAAATTATCAAATCATGTTCAAGGTATGTATGTATATAGAATATTAAACGTGTTATTATTATGTTACGAAACAGTTTATATAATAATTTAAAAAATAATTTGAATTTTAAATTTAGATAAAAATTTAGAGGTTTTTTTGCTTGAATTTTAAGCATTATCTTATGTTATATTTTAAATAATTATATGTTAATATTTAACCTGCGATTTTTTACTTTTTCTACAAGGTCGGAATGGGAGAAACGCCAGCGCTGCCAAAGAATCTTGCTGCGGAAGGCATCGACCTTGTGAAGAAGTGCTTGCAGCACGAGCCAAAGAAAAGGCCGACAGCGAATTCTCTTCTCGCCCATTTCTTCGCACGAGGAGAACACGAGGATAATGTTATTGTGGATACTAGTAGAATGTGAGTATTGTTACGTCTTATTATTACGTCTACGTAGTGTGCGGACTTTAACGAAGACTTGATCGCAAAAATTTTCGAATTCGTTTGTCCTCGCGATTAGAGGATCGTTTGGTACTATTGCTTCATGAAAACTAAACAATGGAAAACTCTTGAATCGCGACCAACAAAAATTCGCGGAAGTCGATTTCAGGAAATGAAATCTTTTATAGCTTCCAAGTGCTATACTTGATTTGACGGGTGCGTTGATTACTGAAAGATGCATTGAATTATGTTGTGCCTGAGTTGTTCCGGCACAGTTAACTTCAACCCAGCCAACCGTACACTCTCTCGAGCAAGAGTGGAAACGTGGAATGGTCCATATTCTGAGAATAAATTCTCTGAACTGGTTGGTACCTGTATAAGGTCCCTCATAAAGGCTCATCACGCAACACTTCTTTTGAGGCCTTTCTTATGCTGGGGCGTTCCTCAGCAGGATCTTTTATTTCTGCTGGCTTGATGGTTGGTTGCTTTCGAGGCGGCTTGAAGCCGTTGGTCCTGTAAGAGCGAGATCTCTCTGTTTGCCTACGAGGCAAAACTCTTTCAGGATGAGTCTCGGCATACTGTTCTGCCTCTACTTCAGCAGCCCAATCATTTCGCTCAGCTGCTTTTTAAGCATTATACGCTGACATACGGCGCTGGTCTCGCGACATGCGGGGTTTTCCTCGCGTATTGGTTTCCGACGCCATCTGGCTTGTATTCATTTGAATTAAAAGTTAAGATAAATTTGCTATAAAACGATTCTTTTGTCAGATAGGTCGATCATAAGTGTCATTTGATAATCAGGTACATGGCAACTGCTGTGCAATGATCTACTTTTGATCGCGATCGAGAGTGGTTGCTCCGAAAATCTAGACGCCATTTTCTAAAATCATGTCACACGGACATTTGCCTAAATACGCTCGGAACAATACAACGCTTATAATAGAATCATTAACTGATTTCTACAATTATACGTTTGAGTTTTTAATAAGCGTCAATCATGCGCGAGGGAGAATATTTTATTAATAGCGATTTCGGCTGGTCTGCACCGACTGCACATTTCGGGTGTCGTATGTTCGGCTGGTCGAATGGTGCAGTCCCTCACTGGAGCTGCGTATTCGTCTGGGCTCAGTACACCGCACAGGTGCATGTTGGGTGTACACAAAGTGGCTCTCACAAATTTGTTGTAAGCTTGTGGTAACGGCATGGATAACTATGTGCGTGAATATTTGAAGTTTTTAGAAATTCTTGGTAAATCTTGGTAAACCTTGGTAAATCTTGGTAAATCTTGGTAAATTTTGGTAAATCTTGGTAAATCTTGAATTTTTATGCTGAATAATGTTTTATATCGTGGTATTGTATGGATGTATAAAATACCAATCTCAACACATTGCGATATATTAAGTTACGTATTAAGTTACGTATTCTTGGTCGCTTCCTTTTATCAAACTAACAATTTAAGGCTCCTGGGTAGTCACCGCAGCCATATTAGATTCGTCACGTCAGAAGCGAGAAATGACACGCCGAGAATTCTTGCGTGCCATTTCTAAATAAAATGATAATTTAACAAAGTAACACTCTAGATCGCTTTAAGACACCTGTAAAATTGTCCGAAAACTATGCTTTTTCCTTGACAGGTTATAAACAATCGTTAAATCAACCGTGAAACGAAGCCTAATTATGCGAGAAAACACACGGTTGACAGCTGTCTGTATGAGTAGAAAATACTCCTTCTACGTTGGGCTTTCCCTGCTAATCTTAGTTTTCGGATAATTTTACAAGTTTTATGAATACGTCACATATCACAGCACTAACATTTAACGAATATTAACGAAATGGCACGCAAGAATAAATTGGGTAGTCAACATGTCATTTTTTCACGTCTAAAGGTACCTTTTCATGGTAGCGATCGTTGCGACTTTTATAGCGATCAGAGAGTCACGTGACTTCATCAGTCGCTTGAAAGTCGTCGCTGTTAGTCGCTTCTGTAGTTAGATTTGGTCTATCTTGCAGCGACAATAGGCTACTAATCGCTACTTGCTATTTGAATTTTTTATCATGAGTGATACAGATGAACTAATTGAGCAGGAAAATGAGGTAATATAATATAATATTAAAATACAATATAAATATATAGCTCTTTTTCTTATTCAAATAATATTCTTGAAAAAAAACAAGCTGACAGAGCCGGAGCTAGTTATAATTGCTCAAATTTCCCTTTATTATAAACACTACATACGTTTCGGCCTAAAGGACGTGGCCATCTTCAGTGTAACAAAATAAAAAAATCGTCGTTAGTCGTAAAACGTTGACAAGATAGTCAATTTAGGTAACGCATTCTTATCTTGATATGGATAGTACATTTTTTCATAAATTTATGAGAAGCCATGGATCATCTATCTTCGGAGATCCGTTAGAAATAAGTATCAAGTAAATAACATGACTGTAAATGACATTGACTGTCAAGCCTGGCTCACTGCCGTCGACGCATGTTATTTACTTGATACTTATTTCTAACGGATCTCCGAAGATAGATGATCCATGGCTTCTCATAAATTTATGAAAAAATGTACTATCCATATCAAGATAAGAATGCGTTACCTAAATTGACTATCTTGTCAACGTTTTACGACTAACGACGATTTTTTTATTTGTTACACTGAAGATGGCCACGTCCTTTAGGCCGAAACGTATGTAATGTTTATAATAAAGGGAAATTTGAGCAATTATAACTAGCTCCGGCTCTGTCAGCTTGTTTTTTTCAAGAATATTATTTGAATAAGAAAAAGAGCTATATATTTATATTGTATTTTTAATATTATATTACCTCATTTTCCTGCTCAATTAGTTCATCTGTATCACTCATGATAAAAAATTCAAATAGCAAGTAGCGATTAGTAGCCTATTGTCGCTGCAAAATAGACCAAATCTAACTACAGAAGCGACTAACAGCGACGACTTTCAAGCGACTGATGAAGTCACGT